GAGAGAGAGAGAGATGTGCATAATTTAAAAAAAAAATTTAAAAACCGAGATATAACGACAATATTTGTAAGTCACAATAAAATGTCATTACGACAAACTTCATTAAATTTTGAATCAAATTTAAATAGTCTCAGTCAAGGTTTTGTTATAAAATTCATAATAAAAATTTCGTGCTAATTTTATTACAGTGAACATTTCTTTCTCTCTCAGCAATGATCAATCGGTGTTTTACTTGTTTATCCCATAAAGATAAAAGAAGATTACATAAGAAATGAATGAAAAAACAGCTGTATATGTTATTTGTATGTGTTAACGTGCATGTAATTACGTAAAGAAGAGACGATAACTTCATCAATGAAACAGCACACTCAGTTTATACAATACTAACCGCATCCCAGAATGTTAGAAACTTGAATTTTCCACCGAAGGCGCCGTGCACCCTCGTAACATTGTGCGGCACGATTGTATACGTGTAATCATAATAAACCGCGAAAGCGTAGTTCAGGAAAATAAGCGCATGGAATCCGATCACTAGGCCCTGTCGCATCTCACGGCTGTTCGCGAATGGTCTGAAACGTGTAATCATCTATTTGTGGGAAATACGATTCATCGAATGCAAGTCATATTCATGACGAAGCTCTAATCGTCAAGCAAGAGCGAAAGATATTTCCTCGTTTGTATCAAGATTTTTTTTCATACAGAATTCAGGTTTTAAATTGTTCATTAATAATTTATTTGAATATTAACATCATTGGGATCTCCTTGGCATTTTCATATTCAATAGTGATAAGTTGCGCAGAACTTTTCATGTCTGTAGCAACAAGAAAATCAATACATATTCTAGTAAGAAGATTATTAAAATATAGATTTGTATAGAGAAATATCATTATATTGCCATATAGCAAACTTATATAAATACATTAATAGCACAACTTTCGATGTCAGTAGAATACCGAAATTAAATGTATAATGTTCCAGATTTTGAAATATCTGTCTACATTATTGAAATTAGTAACTCTTTCTGTCAATTTTCTCGTTTTTCTCTTTCTGGACACGAATTTATTTTTGCAATCAATTTTGAGCTTTTAGTTAATTCGAGTTGATTAACATTAATCTACAATTACAGAATAAATATTGAAATTAATTTTGAAATATCAAAAGGTATAAGAAACATATTATTAATAGTTTTAATATAATGTAATGTAAATTACGAAAACGCAATTATTTATATATTTATGAATGTACGTGCCGTTGCATATAACATTTTTTTTGTGTCCTAAATTTATTTTTCGAAATATTAATTTAAAAAACAATTTTGTTTTATATTTTTCTTTCTTTATGCGTCCTTTCTTGCTTGTGCTAGCGTAATTTTGGAAAGCACCATATTCTTCTTACATGTATAATTTCTTCTTATATGTAATATTTTGAGACCGAAGTCGATGGACGATTCATTATTTGTTCAATTATATAAATCTAATAATATCACCCAAATCAAACTAATCTTACAAAAGAGACGAAAAGACAGCTCGGAGATGGAAAGTTTCAGATTGATAATTTCTCAACATGCGTACATTATGCAAGCGAGTATACAACTGAGTTACATAATTTATACGTAACTAAAACTACTTGTAAGTAAAAAGAGACTTGACGTATAAAGAAGTCTTAATTTCTTGTTCTTTAACATAAATTTATATAAATCAAAATCACATTTATTGGTTTATCTATTTTTATTTGTCCGGTTCAGTAAAATCCTGCCTTTTGTTTCTTACAAAAAAAAATGATCAATAGAATATTGCAGAGGCTATTATAATTTATAAATTTATAAATTTTATTTAAATAAATTTAAATATAATAATAAATGTCACAGATGTCACGTCTAGAAGAATTAAATAAAAATAAAAAATCAACAGAAAAAAGCTATAAGAATCAAAGAGCGAATGTCAGACCGCAAAAAATTCTTTTATTACATAAGAAAAATAAAGCTTCAATTTTATGAATGAATTCAGAACGTTAACAATTAATTACAGGTGTTAATAGTACACGGACAATTACGAGTAGTACACGTAATTTCTTTCTCTTTCACACAGTTTCATACAATTTACATAAACGTTATCAAAATGTTTCCTTTTGCGAATTTACTTTCGCGAGGCATAGGCTTTACTGACGATCTCATTTAAATAAAACTTTCTAGATTGTAGAATGTTAGGGATCGGAAATTTACTTGTTACATAGAACACTGATCCTTTTCTCGAATAAATCCTTTTTGTGAATTAAAATGGATGGAGATTTTTCGTTTCCGACATATTCTTCTTCACTTATATTTGCTATCTATCTTGCACGCGGTGGGAAAAGACAGGCGAAACTGATTTACATTGATGGAGAAACTAAAAGGTGAAATAATACCTTGGACGAGAACCAAGCAACGCTCGCGTTTTATCTTTCGCTTAAACACCGCTGCTAATCGTATTATGCAATGTAAAAGCACTTTGAGCAAGCGCACAGTATATTACGAGAGAAACTGACATTAACTATAATTTATCAAAAATTTCTTACAAACCATCATTGCATTAACCAATTGTAAAAGCAGTCGCTTTCGTAATCGTTAATGATCCAACAAGAACAAATTGTGATAATTAGAATACAAATTTTATCTTATCAAATATCAATCGAAGATAAGAAAAATAAATATAAATACAGGTATAATGACTATTACATTAAAACTGATAAAAAAAATAAATAAATCTAGAGAAATGTCGTTGAAAAAAAGAAGACAATTTTTGTATAAATTGGTTTGGTTAAATTATAGGTGTCTTATCCAATGCAAAACCCGTTGATAAATTTAACTTGCACTTAATATTGCCTTATATTTTTACCAGGTTATATCGAGGTCTATTTGTAGCTTCTTTTTAGCCGTACTGCTGAAGCGTGAAATTAATAGGGCATTTCCCTTTTACAGAATTAATATGGACTACGGAGCGCTCAAAGAAAAATTAGATGACCCGTTACCATTTATTAAGTTACATAACTCATTTTCTACGATAGCGATTTTTTTTTATTATATGGGTCGCGAATATGGAACACGATTATATTTCCAGCGATGGCATTTATTCCGCGATTGTCAATACATTGTCGTTCGATACTTGTTTTATTTCTGTTATCACTGTGTGGATGCGAGGATGTCGATCGAAAGTTGTCAACTTGTGGTTGCTATCTGTCAGAGGATGTATCGTATGCGTCAGTTCAAGAGCATGTTGCATATAATTGAGAATATGTATGTAGCGTAGAATGGAAAAGTAAAACGATGTAAGCATGGAAAAAGAATAAAATAAAAATAGATTTTCGTAAATTCAAAGGAAAACGTGTAATAAAAATTATCTATAAAAATATGGAAAATTGAAACGCACACTATTTTGAATACTCTCACTCTTTTTTTGTATTTCTATTCTACAACTCTGTATCTTTCTACAAAAGTTGAGTCATGAAGATAATAATCTCTGAAGTATAAATAATATAATAAAATGATACGATTTTACGAATTTATACGATTTAACGCATGTCATTCCGTTTTATACTTTTGTTGTCTTTCCTGTTTTATCTATCTTCATAAAAAAATAATATTGCGACTTGAATTGTTATTTTTATTTTCCGATAAAGTAAACATTGAATGATAAAAACTATAAAATCTCAATTTCTGATAAAAAAAAATTGTATAAAAAAAATAGTTCGCATTGTAATTTGTATTGTCATTTAGATTTTCTTTCTAGTATAAGAAACGAAAACCATCAAGTTTTATGAAATTTATATCGAACATATTTCGACGTAATTACAAAATTATAATAAAAGTTATACTTGCAAAAAGTATAATGATTCATTTGACTTTTAATAATGTATAATGTTTGATGTTTAAAGAAAATGACTTGTTTAATCAATTCTTATAAATTTAAAATTTTTTCAGACGAAATCTTTTTTATCTTTTTTTATCTCTTTTTATCTCTTTTTATCATCATGTTAATATCACTTTGTATCTTCCCAAAAACAATTTGCTAAGTCATCACTGCGATTTTTTTCATGAAATAAAGTGTAGATTATAATTGTATTCAATATGAAACAGAAAGGAATTTATTAACAAGGTATTTTAACTCTCATTTAACACAATCAAATCAATTTCAGTCCGATAAAGCAATATACATTGAGAAAATTTTATATCATAAATCACTATGGTACTGCAATAGCCGCGGACCATAATTATAAGTTTAAATACTATAGCTGTTATGTGAAAAACTTGTAAGCATTTTTAGAATTCCTCTATGTTTTGTGACTACTGCTATACATAGTAATTTTTGTTATGAAATTTTCTCTAACAAGATAGAAAACAAGATAGAAAAAATGCAAACAAGATAGAAAGAATGAAAACAAGTTTTTAAATGTTTATGCCGGTCTCTTATTTTGATGATTCAGTGTATTTTTATGCAAATGCACTGATTTTCATGTAAATGCACTGATTGCATGCAAAGTGCAATAATTCGCAACTTCACAAATTGGTATATTTTGTTTAATTTCCATATTTTCTTTACAGGAAGGGGAGGGGATTTCGCGCGGAGTTACGACTACTCCACGTGCCTTACTACGTCGCATCTCGTACGTGATTGAATCCGAATCGACGCCGAGATGATTTACTCGCTGCTCGATAAACAGAGACTTCGCGACGCCACGTCGGGAGCAGGGAAGAGTCCAGGTCGAGCGAGTGAATTCGGACGACGCCACTGGACGGGACGCATCGCAGATACTTAACCTATGTACTTTCGGCGATTGTCATCGCGACGCCGTTAACGACCGGCGATTTAAGACCGGTAGTCTCGGTGGCACTTTAGTATCCTGAATACTGTACGCACGGAAAAATGCATCTGTCGTCGCGATGCGAACATGGAGATCATTTTAACAACATTGGAATCTGAACTCGTCGATATTACGACGCTTCACCTGCTACGTACGCGTAAAATAGGGCCAAACTTATTACTTTTCTTGTCGTCCATCGACACGATCGCGTCTCGCGAGAAAGACAAAGGAGAAGAGAGAAAGAGAGAACGAGAACACTATTTTTAATCGACCCACGGTCGTTTCTGCGACCTCGGGATGCCAATCGATCTACCCTTACTTGGTGCGGAAAACGCGTGCTTCAATTCTTACTGCGGCTGGTACGTGCCTCGTCTTTCTATTTTGGAGCGCAAGATTTCTGTCACGTTTTACGTGCGATCACATGAAACACTCTCCCGAAACACTCGTGTCGGCGGTCCGCGACTTACTGACGGATAATGGAGCAAAACGGCAGGAGGGAAAGGAGAAAAGACCGCAGCGTGCGTGCGTTTGGCACTGGTTTATGCGACCGCGTTTAAGAGAAAAGGATAGAAGAGAGTACGTCCCAGTAGCGGATTCAGCAGCTCTAGGTACCCTACTCCCAATAATTAAACTTGTTTTTACTATCCCAGCGTCTTGAGCAAACTTCTTTCTTCACGAAAGAAATTTTAATATTATTAATATTGTCAAAACAAAAATAAAAATAAAAATTCAACAAAAATTATGCGATTTGTCCATTTCTCTGATATAATTTGATGTGATTCGAGAGATTACATTTTAATCAATATTGATCATTATTAATCGATACACTATATATTTTGCATTACTTTGTAGTCGTATCAATTTCCATAAAAAGGTTTCTTTTGCAAGAATTTTATAAAATTATCCTTATTTTCTGTCACACGATGACTCACACATAACTCAAACTTGACAAGCTAATTTGCACAAGTAGAGTTGCGACATATATGTATGTCGCAAACAGTAGTCAAAGACAATCGATTGATGAATGGACTATACAAGAAGTTCTGCAATTGATATGGAAGGTTATTCAATATCGTTCAAACTCAATTTCCATTTCAAACTTTGATTGACCAATCTGGGCGAAAAATAATAACGATATTTTGCTTACTTCCTTTCATTTTTTACAATACTTCGCCGCAGACAAAAGTATTTTATTACAGAAAGATTGAAAAAATAATATTGCTGTTTTTATTATCGAGACAAATAGAATAAACTTGTTTGAAGTTAATAATCTGTTTTAAAACATATTGTATATTGAGATTAAAAGTTAAAAGTCTAATGTATATATTTATATATGTAGTAATATTAATAAAGAATCAGGAATTATATAAATATTTTATATTTTTTAATAAGTAGTTTTATAAGTGTTTCATTTATTTTATATTTTATATAGGAGAGGAGAAAAAATTAATTTTTTCCCATCTTAAAAAAGGTGATAAAAAAGCTTATACTTTGCGAGAGATCGCCGAGACTTGGTAACTTCAGCAAGGCCGAACAACGATTAAAAAATAGAACATATAGTCTTATAATAATAAGAAGAAAAGAGTACAACTTACCACGTTCCATACTGTTAAGTATTTCATTTGACCAGGATCGTATTCTTTGAAGACTTCCTTGAGCATAGGAACATGCAATTTATTGAAGGTGTAATAATGAGTGAAGCCGTAAGCTGTTAGACTAGCCAGATGGAACAGGGTGTTTATTGAATGTGCCATTTCGCTGAAATCACTCTGTCAAATTCAACAAACGCATTAGTATACTGTAATAGAAATTTGCGGTAGATATAATAATAGCCGTGATAGCAATTATCTATGTATACTTAACCCGTTCGTTCCCACAGTAGTCAGATTACAATTTGATGGTAAGAGTTATTTTATATGCAATAAGAATTTAAAAATTATAATTTTCTTGAAATATTTTAAATATATTTACCAATCAAAAGTAAGGAAAAAGATTTTTATCATGTATGATTACTTTACAATGCAAATTATTGTACATAGTTTCAATAAAAATAAAATTTGTTGCTAAATAGTAACAAATAAAAAAAGTCCTTAAGTGTTTTTAAAAATTTTTTGATGAATGATTTATTTGTTATGTGATATACCGAAAAATATGAAAACAAATTTGTTTTGTAGTTTTTAAATAATTTGGGAATAAAAGAATTAAGAAAATAAACTGAGCTGAGATAAAGTAAAAGATTGTTAGTCGTAGAAAATATTTTCTTTCTGAATCATGGTTATATTTGATATCGAACATCATTGATGTAAATGTTAGTTTATTTCAAATATTTTATAAAAGCTCAGCATTCGCTTCGCTTTTATAGCTTACAACAGCATTTTTTTTTTGATGACCTCAATATTAAGTATAAATAAGCATATATCAATTCAAAGCATTTAAAAAAGTTACGAGATATACTTATCTTACAATATAAATATTTTCTTAATATATATTTTCTATAAAATGTAGATATACATATTTATTAGTTAAGAAAATTATAATAATATAATAATAATAAATAAATTTTGTAAAAATAATACATAGTTATAATTTTCTTTTTCATAAATATGTATATTTTTTATACTCACAACTTTTAACTACTGCATTTCCTTACATTTAGTTTAATTGACAAAACAATTATACTAACTGCAAATATGCTCGTTCGAAACGATTCTAGATTTAAATCGCCATAAATATATCTATTAATTATACTTCTATAAGAAATTTTAATTGAATTGGAGATGCGATATTAACATCAAAATAATACAGACGAATGCCTTTTGAGGTAGTTATCGTTGTAATTTCTCACTTCAGCGGTATCTCTTCCGCGAATTGTTCAATTGTAACTTATCTATGTGTGCATTTGCACACGTCTTGATCGCACATTAGGCGCGTGCGAAGACCTTACTCCCACAATAAGATATAATTTAGATATAATTAGAAAGGACCGGTTTTTGAAACCGTAGAACCTTGTCGTGATTATCACGCTTATCTGCGTGACGAAAATATAATTCTTGATTGAAAGCTATTCACCAAATGATTCTGTCAGTTGTTATATAAATGATATATATGTTATATAAATACGATTTGACCTTGTCGCATAAGGCAAACATCTGTTACTTTTAATAATGCTTTACGATAATTGCTATTGCTCTCAGTTGCCGTACGTAAACGCCAGTGAAATAATTTGTCACAATCTGACACACTTTGTTTCATTCGATTATATTATTTTTTAAAAAATTCTTCAACATTAGTTATTTTTATACGTCTCATATATAGTAACATAATTATTATTAAACGTGCATATCTCGTTTTCTCTTAAAATTAAAATAATATCTACTTTAATTTAGTAAATGGAGTTTAATTGGCTAAATATAAAATTGAATAGAATTTACAAGCTTTTATTAATACTGAATTTTATGCTTTTATGTGAGCACAAAGATACTACTATAAATTTAATAAAAATTTCGGAAAAAGGAGAAAACGGAAAAGGCAGAAGTAACTCGCGCTTAAATATGATTTAATTTTTGTAATTACCTCGTTATTGTCTAGTTGATAATGATTAATCACGTCTCAAACTGAGGAGAATGTCGGCGGATTCACTCTGACGATCGCGAATACTGTACTACTGCGTCAAACTCGTAATGGAACGTAGCATTAAATGTTCGATAGTCACTGACAATCGAACATCAGTGAAATGACGTTGTATAAATTGCGTCTAGCGGATATAAACTTGGGTCAAGACGTGCCACGTACGTTGTAGCGTCTTATAATGACCGCGCATTTATCGGCAACGACGAGGATCAGAATAACGACGATGCGCATCCGCGATCGAAAACGCACTGATGTTGCGGCAGACCGAGATTACAGTTATCAAGTGTCAGAAGTACGGTACTTGCCATCCTGACACTACAACCAAGACCATCATTTTTTCGCTATAGTACGTTCGAACTAAGCACACTTACGCGAAAACTGATGTACGAATCGAAAGAGAAAAAAAATTCTCTTCTTTGAAAGAAGAACACACGGTATCGAAGAAGTATATTAATTAAAATAAAAAAGAAGTAATTTAAAAAAATATTTTTTATCCTAAAAAAATTAAACAGAAAATTATTCGTGTTCAGTAGAATCTATACGATTCTACAGAAGATATAATTTAATGTAATATAATTTTTCATTGTAAATCAACAAATTGTTTTTGATCTAAAATATTTATTATTTCTGTTATCATAACTGCTATCGTAAAATTGATGTGATAAAGTTATATCTCTAAAATTCTTATACATGCGATACAACAGGTCAATATATATCATAGGTTGTGTGATTCGAATTTCTGCTCCCGGATGTAACAGATAATTTTCTTATCAAACACATATACGATAACTAGGATTTAAAGCAAAAACAAATGTGATGGTATTATAATGACTTGCAACTGAACGTAATAAGCAAAAGTTGCAACTGTTATTGTCGTCAAAAAACGACGTAAAAAACGACACCAAACGTAAGGATAAAAATTTTTCAAAGATAATAAAATATCTTGTGCAGAAAGATTGAATATATTTATATATAATTTTTAATATAAAAGTCGACAAAGTTCGTGTTTATAATAAACTTGAAAAAAGACTATATTTTGTTCATTTGCTTATATAACACACTATAAATGTTGTATAAAAATTTATTATTCCATAACACATACGGAAATATATTTTTATTTTTATTTTTTTATGATAATCAAATGATTATGTCTATCATACACACACAAATAAATATTTGTTTCTGCACAAAGCATTTGTAAAGACACATAAATTTGGAATTTCAGATTGAACAATTACTCCCATCTAGGTTTTACATATGAAGCTTTTGTAACTTAAAGAGGATTTGTTTTTGATAATCGCGAAATTTTACTTATCAGAAGTCGATATGACTTTTTTAGTTTGTTTATACGTTCAAAGTTAAATGCATTGTTTTAATAAATATTAAATTAATTTATTTTCTATTTTTATTATGCAATGGTTTAAGATATAAAAGAAGAATTTTATAATTTTATATCTATTTTTTTAAAACAATTATCTTTTGTTAAACTTGATAATTCATCGATTGCAATAACTTGCAGAGAAAAAATAATTAAACTAGTAAATTACATTGAACAATGCGATTAATGTACAACAAAAAACATTGCAAATTCGTCATATATTATTAGCTATTCGTTCAATCGACACTTAGTAATAATTTTATTTTGCAAATCATCTTGTTTAACCCATGTACACACTGCGTTAACGTGTAAATCAGTAAAGTTTGAACGTGATAATGTTTTTTTATTTATCCCGACGATGTTTATTTCAATCTGTTTATTCAGCTACTCTATTCATTCTAGTCACGGTCCTGAACATGCGGTCAGTCCGTCGCCGTATTCATCGAGCGGCGCCTCCGTATTCACGGTCATGCCGGTCGGCCATGTGTCACGTTTTCTGCGATCGTCCGCTCTCACTGTGTTCGCCATACTTCGCATCGCCAGTTTTACACCGGACGTTTCGGGTGACGTTTCTTCTCTGCGTGTTTGACGCGTGCATCGATTAAAATCTCGCTCGCGCGTAAATTCGCGAACACAATTCGCAATGACGATGCGTCCCCAATAATTGAATCATCAATTCTCGTGAGTGTGCAACCGTTCTTGATCGCCATACAATTGCCGTTCTGTGTATCTTTTACGATTCTTTAAAACTGCTCGCTTCTTGCTTCGTACAAGGTAAGGAAACCTTACGATGTTTTTCTCCAAATCTATAGCAAATGTAGTTTTTATTATTTTTGCGATTTCAGTAAGTATCGTATAAACGTCCATCACACATACAAAATGAATTTGTATAATTTTCCGTTTGTTTGTTTCTTTTAAAAACAAGTAAATTGTCGTAATATTTCTGGTGAACATAAACTTCCTTGTATGCTTGTATAATTTTTCTAAACTATTTGCAATTTAAAGCAGGCTATATGTATACAGTGTGTAAGAGTAAAACATTTTACACAAATATCAATACATTTATTGATATTTGTGTAAAACTTTCAAATATTCATGAAACACGCATACTTAATAGATGTATATTCCAAGAAAGTAATTAGACGCGAAAGTAAGCCGATGCGAAAATCGATCGAACAGCTTCGAGTCTTTATCGCTAGTTACGTGAGTAATATTACCATTTTATCGGTGCTAGTTTAACGGAGATTGCGATTTATATATTTGTAGCTCTTTCGGCATGATAACTTAGTTTGTACAACGATGCTAGGTGCGGCATGCGTTGACATTATAATTCTCTTTGTACATTTCAAACACTTATCTCAAACTTAAAAAATAAAAATGCATCAAGTTTAATATTATTTATATTATGATTGATTTACATTTGAACATCACAATCGATGAATGTAAATACCTATGTTTAAAGTATTATTCATGGGCAGCATATATTGGTATATTGTAGATTGTTTTTTACACGCTAATTATTAAACTTTTTATAGCAAACGTTACGATGAACTCTTACTGCGCAAGTAGAGGAAATGAGCAATTTCTTATTGCTGCCATATCGCGTTTCTACCGTTATATTACGCAACTTCTTCCTTGGAGAAATATATACGTACTGCTGCATCGCGTTCAGAGTCATGCGTTACACAAAAGAATACGAAAGCGCGTTTCAGATACAGTTAGACTTCCGTGTGAGAGAAGAAAAATGTTTACGATCGCTCATATAAAATTTATTTAGGTGAAATCCGGAATCGCAGGGGATTTTATGATAGCTTTTATTCATATTCTCTAACAATGAGTTAGGAGCGCGCTTTTGCTTCGCCTCGGCTTACCAAATTAATTGATAAAACTTATCAAGAAAGTCACTATTCGCTATTCGTGCATTTTTAGCTTCAATATTATGCTTGACAAAATTATTTCCATATAGTATTGATTACAGTCTTAACAATATGGCATTCTGATGACAGTGAAAAGATTTTGTAATTATTTGCATAGATGATATATAGCTGAGTCATACACACATGAGTAGGTATCGCATGTCTGACATAGATATTAATGACAGAGCTTTATTTTTGGAGGAATACAAAAAAAACATAACCTCTGTTGTAACAATATTAATTTCTTTAAATTATGTAACATTTTTTTACATTACATGACTATTCATATTGTTTACAATTACGTAATACGTGTTGGAGTGGTAGAAAATTCTTACTTTTTTTAAGAAACTTTAAAGTTTGATCTGTGCTTAAAACCTTTGCAAAGCTGTTTAATACATTTTTGACGACTCTAATATAATCTACTTCATAATCTAACTAATTGTTTTATGTTTTCTATTTTATAATTGAATGAAAGAAACTAGAATAATAATCTTTAATTTGCTGACAGATACATTAAACCAAATATAAAAATGTTTATCCGGCTTAAAAAAGGCTTGTTATTGACTTTTAAAGCCTCTTTTCGTTGTCATCGCGTTATCGGTTTGTCTATCGCAAAGTTTGCATTGATGATTTTGTTTATTATCAATTATTATTGTTACAAAGATGATTGCGTTTGACAGTTTGTATTTTGACAGCTTTATTTTAACAGCTGTTCGACGAGTTCAAAGTGTTTAAACGGATACAATAATACCAAAGGAAAGAACAGAAAAAAAGGCGCGCGTGTATGTTCTCTAGTACTATAAATTATAGTGTGATTATTTGATTATTTACAAAACGTTAAGACTCAAAACGTAGTTAAAGCGCGAAGTATATTTGCGTGTGTATACTGCGACAAGAAAGCGGGTAAAGATTTACCCGCTTACGAACGTCCGTTTACCTTAGATAATATTTTAGCATTGTTTATCGTGCTTCTTGTTTTTCTCATTCGCGTTTCATTTCGCTTATGCAACGTATGCAAAAGAGCACTTGTGAAAAACTGCGGCAAGCTTTTGTGTTTTGGGAACGTCCGAGGCACTGCCGTTGTTCAGCAATGAAAAGCCGGACGAGACGAACATCTGCTAATTTTCTATGCGTCTGCAAATCGATCAAAGGCTGCTAATGGCGTGCTGACGTGCGACAAATGCCAGTATGCAAATATTTTGTGCGCAATGTAGAATAACACAGTAAATTTGAAATGAGAATTCCTTTAGATTATGCGATGCGAAATTCGTCATATCATTGTCTCGCAAATTCATAACGTCTGATTGAATTAGTCGTGCGAGGATACTTATTTGGATAATTGTGTTGTAAAATATGACACGAAATTATCACAATAGTGCGGGTGCAGGCAGAATACAAAGCAGTGAGTCAGCGGCGATCGGCAACCGGCTCTGCGCTTTCCTCTCTCTTTCACTATCTCTTTCTCGTTCAGCCTTTGCGAGAGATATATCTTTCCGTCCCATTCCTTTTTTCCACTCTCGCAATATAATCCCGGTGTACTGGTTCTCCCCTCGCTCCTCGCCTCATGTTTCTCAACACTTTGACACTTTCGAATGGGTCGACGCGGCGCGTCCAGTGACTCCTCATTGCACACAGTTTGCTCGTCCGTGCAGGTGCAACGTGTCGGTTTCATTCTTTTGTGTTCTTCTGTTGTGACGATCTCAATTAGAAGTAACAGAATATCAGACAGAAGGATCTGAAGCTATCACAGGCTTTCCGATACGTCGTAAGTATACGTATCGTGATCCTTCGTCCACTTCGGTTCTCCATTTCTATCAATGATTTGTCCTTCCTTTTTGTGGGATTTTTTCTCGTTTTTTTCGCAGCAATTATCTGATTTTTCATTGTTTCCAAATTGCACGCATCGGTACGTGTCAATTGCACTGTGTTACCACACAAGGCGCATGGTCGACGTGACAAATTTTACTGCGACAAAAATAAATCTGACGTAGCGTAATGAATTGTTATACATTATGTAATATTGTTGTATGGACTCTATAGTAACGCATCTTTCCTATTAAATTTTTATTTATTTCGTATTTGACACTTCTTCATCGAAAATCATGGTTCGGTGCTACACAATTAAAAAACAAATCTGTTTAACAATTTATCGAGACAAATCGCTCGAAATATATCGTAATCCGGAATATAAGAAATGTTTATTACGCATTATGCAAGAAGCCGTTAATTCATTTATTTTATTTACCTATGAGATATTTATGTATAAAAATACGTTTCTCTAGAACCGGCTTCGCCAGTCACCTTCAGGATATCGACCGTTCAGTTTCATTCATTCACACTTTATCTTGTTAGACAACTTGTTAGACTTTCATTAGTTCTGCGTTACCTTTTCGCAAGTATCAATAATAATCGCAATTAAACGGTTTACTTCGAGATGATTTTAAAAATTAGATTTGTTATTTTTCTTCTTGTAAAAGTGAGAAAGTTTCGAGTTCTATTTTTTCATAAATCAGATTAGGTTTCGCAAAAGCAATATTTTTTATGAAGTTTTATATTACCGGCTAAATGAACGAACATTTCACTTTTGCTTATTATCAATGCCGGATTTCAGTTTCTCGAAGAATCGAGTCGACATATTGCGCGCCGATGTGTATTACTTATCTTGGAAAGTATCAAGGGATCGCAAATCGATCGCTCTCTTGCCTGTTGCAAGGTCATGCGAAACTTTCGCGAAATAATTGCTCAAACCGGTCGAAAGGACGCTCATATTACACTTTATTGTAAGGTACAAGGACGTTTTGCTATGAATCACGCTAGGGATAATGTGCCGGGCATCAGAGAGTTCAAAAAAGAAAGACGTAAAATGTGAACCTTATTACACTGTTTGTTTTTCATCACCCTTGTCAAGCATTACTCTTTAGATCCAGTTTGTATTCTAGTTCACAAGTATGAATCATGCGACTATAACGTTACAGCATTAAAAAAAATTAAGAGAAAACACTCAATGTTACAGATTATTGACATATATTCAAAAGAGGAAGCAAAATGTCCGAATATTGCGAATATATGTGGTGCGATTCCGCGCGAGGTCACAACAGCACCGCACTAGCGCGTAGCATTTATGAAGAAGGAGGCAGATTTGATAAGCGTGATAAGAAGCTGGCAATTAAGACTGTCAGAGCCATACTTCGGGAAATGCCGAATGTAGGTAAGAAATTGTATATGCAAAGTGCTTTTACACTAATTTATTGCTTTCAATGAACATTTGCAGAATTACAAAAACATCTAAACGAATTGTCTATTTTAATTCAGTGTTAATCCTTTGCGAATTTCTGATAAACATACTTTTACTCTTTTGAAAGCGTCGAGAATTTTTCGACGTACTTGTCGTCGGCCAAATTTTCTAAACTATTAGAATATTACATAAATAAATTGGAGTTGACACGGAATAAATTAACAATGCAAAGTATAAGTATAAATTAGACTAAAGACGCGAGAAAACGAAGAAAAACAGCTTTAATAATTCTCCATCTAATTGAAAAAGCTGCAATTAATGCGTCGGGTGTGATAAATATTAGAATGTTCCACGCGTCCTGCGTACCTTCCCGGAATATCCGCATTCGAATTGTTTCCGGTTGTGCCAATTCGTGTACCGCATTGTAATGATAACCGGTCACCATTATTTGTTGCTCCTAGACCTGAAGCATTGCACGGACGAATATATTACGCGCTTCCTGCTGGCTCGGAAGTATCGCACCGAGCAGGCGGCTGCCCTGATAGTCGCTTATCAGGCTCAAATAACACATCGCCAGGATATCTTTGGCAACCTCACCGCCCGGGATCCCGCCTTGCAACGTGCGCTTCGTGCGGGTATACCGGGTGTCCTGCCGGCGCGAGACAGGTATAAATATATGTTTACCTTGAAATAAGGAGTTAATTAACGCTCAAGAGCAACGTGAACTGTATTTATCTTTATCCCTTCCGTTGCCGTCGGCATGCACCGGAAAATGCGTGTGATTAATAAAATGTGATTAATAAAACGCCGCGTATAATTACGATAAAACTTTTCGATAATGCAACCACACGCTTACAGCACACTTAAGATAAAATATTATAAATTAATTTATAATTTAATTTTCTATTATTTTACGAATATTTAACAGATTCTTATTTGTAATAGCTGTTCAGTTATTTTATAATTTTCTATATTATTTTTTTATTTTATTATAACTCAATATAGGAAAGGCAGATGCGTGCTGATTATTTTGGCATCGCAATGGGATCCCTTAGCCGTGCCCGCATTGTCTGTTCAACGAGCTATCTTCTTAGTTCTGGAAATACTTATTCAAGATCCTCGAAACCAGGTGCAGCATTTATCATCTAATAATCGGTCGCCGTTTGAATTCCATGAAATGAGTTTACTGTCAATTCGTTATTTCGTTTTACTTTTCTACAAACAAGAAGAACTTACGTAATTTAGAAAAGTCACGACACTAATACGCTTTTAACAAAACGATTTGTAAACAGCAGTTAGTGCTATTTCATTCAACTAAATTTATACTCATTGTCGGCCTAGACTCAACGTTCCAAGCCGGGATTATTACACGCCTTGACGTTTAATAACGACCTGTGTTGCTTTTTTTCAGCAATCCGGTTTCGTCGCTGTGGTGGATTGGAGTGGGTTCTCGTTGCGGCAGGGCGGTGCACTGGGTGCAGCGGCTCTACGAAACCTAATAGCTGCTTTACGTGGGCGATTTCCTGCTCGATTCAAAGCGATACACTTCCTTTCAGCGCCACTATACGTCCAAGCGACTCTGGCTCTGGTGAAGCCATTCCTGGATGAGAAAACGCGAAATAAGGTGAGAGAGACATGAGCGACGGATGATGACATTGTAAGCATGAAGAAATTTAGAAAATACTTCTTACATGGATTATATAATTATGTTTTACAATTCATATTATTACGATGATTTTGATATTACTTATTACAATCAATATATAATAATTGATTTTTACTTTTATGTGCAATGCGATATGAAAAATATAGAATAGAATAAAAAATTTGATAAATATCGCGAATATCGACGCTTTGCGAGGCTATACATTGTCATTGCTCAGATGACTCAGATGCAGAAGATTACTGTCAAGCGCAAAAAGCCGTTATCGTTCGTCTCTTCGCAGATTTACCTGCACGGCAACAATCTCAGCACGCTTCACGAACATCTGCCGACGGACATCCTGCCGGCTGAGCTTGGCGGAACGGGACCAGCCTTCAACCCGGGATTATGGGCTGAGCCGGTCATCCACTCGGCGATGAAAGAAGCTGAGCTCGCTGCCGCCGCCAAAAAGGGAAAAGAGCAGCAGGTAGACGCGAGCGAGCAAGAACCGGCCAGCCTTCAAGATGGCTTGCAAACCACAAACGGAAACTATCGGAGGAGGAGCGACGGATCGAACATGGACAAAACATTCCTCAACAAGTCCAGCAATGCCGCGAAGCGTTCTTCCGCGAAGACGACGCAAATGGAGGTAGAATTGAATGTGATAAACGAGCGATCGAACGAGCGGAGAGAAATGGAGGGGTTTGCAAACAAAAACGATAAGGATAGCGCTAAAGAACGATTGGTACACGTCGAACGAGTTAGTGACGAAAATGCAGAAGAGAAGCGTCATTCCGACAATACAACGGACAAACACAAGGATAATACAGTTTTACTCGACGCAGAGCTCAACCTAAGTGAATTCGAAATGATTCCTAATAGGTTGGACAACGAGAACAACAAGGATAGCTTATTGGATAATAGATTAGAAAAAAAGGCTCTCATCGTTACCGGCAACAACGAAATACCGTCGGAAGAAACGAATCTCATAACGTAACGCTAATCTCCGCAGATCTAGGTATTCGTAATGTTTATTAATAGGAATCTGTCTTCTCCCGTTGCGAAGGAGTTTTTTTTTATATTATTGACATGAATCTTTAGATGTGGCTCGAATAGTTTCGTAATATCGCAATTTTGTCGGTAACAACAGATTTTCCTATAGACTGTTTTTTCTAGGCTGTAATCTGGTGCGGCGCTCTTTTTGCGGATTTCGTTTATATTGGGATATGGAAAATCGGGTTTAAAGTTTTATAGTGATCTTATTACTGCTGCTAGAAATAAATTTGATATAATGAAGAGCGCATTTAGATATTTTTATTCTTAAAACTTATTTGTGAAAGAATATTAAATATAGCGGTCAAATTAGAGTTTACAAAAAATAATGTATTCAATTTGTAATCGAATATGATCTCTTTTAATTTGACATGTTTAGCATAATTTGACAAATGTTAAATCGCATATCGGGAGTTTTGTTAGATCAACTTAATTTGATATAAGAGGCGTTATTATAAAAAGATAAGAGCTATTTGCGCTATCTTAATTATTTGTTTAATATGGGAATTAGATATTTCAGAAATTTTATCAATCGGTCGATCAAATGCTTCTTACTTACAATTAAACATGACTTTGCACTTAAATAGGATTGAGAGCTAAGAAATGAACGAGCGCGAGAGGTTTTATCCCATATGCGTGTGTGTATCACATTTACAAATATAATCTCGTAATCTTATTAGAATTATGTGCTACTTCAAAATTTCAGCTAATAGCAAAATAAGCATTTCCGATAAATGCTTTAGACATTTTATATTTACAAGTTATATAAATAATTTTTGGCAAACTCGAGTAGTATATCTTAAATAAATATTGAAATTTGTTCTTCCAATAATTATGTTTTTATTAGTAAATTTTTTCATATTTGCATTATATATATATGCTATAATAAATTATTTATGAAAATTAGAAAATCAAAAACTTGATAAAATATTAATATACACTGTATGTAAGTGTACCATGGTTTTAATGATGTGATATAATGTACTTATATACAATGATAATATTTCAATTGTGGCGATTATATTTTTCATTTACGTTTTATATTATATATGAGGAATATAATTATATGTGAGGAAATAATATAATATACAAATTTATTTTTCGGTAGATAAAATATATGTATAAATTCTCAACATTAATACATCTTAAATAACATTGAATATCTTATCACATATTACCAGAAGCACCCTGCTACCATCTGATTTTATATCACGTATGAAAATAGAAAATTCTATGTAGAAGTTTATGAGGTATACAAATACTGCTATGTAATAATATACTTGAAAAATTATGTTATTTATATACAAATCTAATGTTTAAAAAAATCGAATTTCCGTTCTTTTCTTTTAAGAACAAATTAACATAGTGATACTTTTATTTTTTATCAAATTAGACAAAATACTGTCTTAATATATAGCACGATTGGATATACATGCTACATATGATCATTATTATTTCAAGGAATCCTAATAAATAATTGGTCACAATGATTACGAAAGAAAATACATTATTTTCTTTAAATAATACAAATATTTTCTTAAAACTTCATAAATGCAATATGTACGTAATGACATAACAAAGTAATCGTACATAAACGTACTATAAAATTGTGTCATAAAACTTACGGAATATAAATATTGTAAGAAATTATATTTTGTTTTAAATGCACGCATGTGTTACACATCTCTCTGTATATAAGTTTGTACTTTATCGCGATAATGTGTTCGCGTATATGAAAATCGATATAAATAGTATAATGTTTCATAAGAGAAAGATGGCAGGGTTCATTCAGTAAGATGAAATTTTATGCGTATTTATCATTCATTGAATTATTGTCTATATGATGTACCGATTAAGCCACTATTGTCGGAGGTACCCAACCTCCGAAACCTCGTTCCAATTCCTCAGCAACAGCAAGTGTTAAACGATCTTGATGGAGTCCTGCTACAACCTGATTAAAATTTAGATTCGAATTATTATTCAGAGTACGAGTGGATTTTTCGTAAAACGATATCGTACACAAATACTTACTTGTATACCAATGGGAAGCCCTTGCTTATTTAAACCTAACGGACAAGCTGTAGCCGGTAGGCCTAACACATTAATGATGCCGGTATAGGAAAAGTTAAACGGTTTACACATTGGTTCATAGTGCATTGGAGCTGCAGTTGGATGCGTGGGATACAAAAACACACCATTTTCTCCCAAAATATCCTGATAAACATAACAAGTATATATAGCAATGATATTCGAAACATATAACAGGGCCAAGGAAAACTCGTTTATTTTATAGCCGACATTAATACCGATTAATATGCGAAAAATGCCGATAAAGATCCGTTTTGAGGAGAATATATGATTGTGATAAATTCAATTTGTGTTTCGTTCCTTTGGTTTTATTTCCGTACAAATCAGTCTTGATCACAAAATAAACGAAGTAAAAAGTTTTTCTTGCCCCATCCTTATCTTAATATTTTTATATAACATATTCATTAAAAAATACGGCAATCGTACCCTAAATTCTTGATAGAGATCTTTGCTTTGTTGAATGAGTCGACCGTGTTCCTCGTTTCCGTACTTTATTGCGCTCAATTTTTCAAACGTGGCAGTGAAAAGAGCGACCAAAGTGTGATTACTCATAAATAATAACCACTTAATGAATTCCCACCAAATAGTAATGTGACCCTTCCTATTGGTTAGCTCGTACGAAAAGTCTTTGTCATCCTTGCAGGCCATATTTGCAAGCCAGAGAGCCATGCTCTTTTTCAATTTTTTTACGTTTACTTTTGTGGCTTTAATCTTGTGCGCTTTCTCGAAATAGTTTACTATTCTTCTCATGGCGTCTTTTATTTCTGGATCCACCGGCGAAATCAGGTACTGACCGCCATCGTCTTCCATATAAAAAATCTATATTTGCATAGAAATATTGTTTCATATTTATTACATGACAAATTAATCCCACTTTTTTGCTGCAAAGGCATGCATGTGCAAAGTAACACTAGACTAGAGGAAAAACTAATAAAGTACTTTTTACGATAGCTTTTTACGTCAGCTTACCTTGATTTGAGAAATATCCACTTTTTGATCCAGCTTTAATAAATCGGCATTTTTGTCTGCTAGAATCTTAAGAGTCAACGTCAAATCTTGCGCGTATCTACACATTGGTCCAATAGCAAGTAATTGATCTTGATCATCGCTCTGCGCACTAGGGTATTGACCATCGTTTGAGACTATTCCTGTAATAAAAGTATGACGTTGTCAATAATGAAAAAAAACCGTGTACATCAACCGAATTCAATTTTTCTTACCTTTAGTTGGTTTGTGACCAAAAATTCCATTGAAGAATGACGGCATACGAATAGAGCCGCCAATATCAGAACCGATTCCAAGCGGTGACCCAGCTGCTGCTTGTATACAACCTTCACCACCAGAAGAACCACCTACGATATGTCTGAAAATAGATATTGAATGAGTGTAATGGTTTTGATGGATTAAATTTCTTGTCTCACAATTTTATATGCTTAAATTCAAGTGATGATTCAAGAGATAAACAAATTGCACTATATTACTGTCTATAGAAAGTAAGCCAAAAAACAACTTTCCATCCTATTTATAACCGATAGCACAAACTACCAAAACAGATCAATTTTGTTTCCAAAAGGAATGTACGATTGTAATAAATTCAATGAAAAACAAAATGGATATTTCGATATTTTGATAACAATACTAATAATAGAAAATTTAATTTCCTATTATTATTAGTTTAAATTAAATTTAATTATAACTATAATTAAAATTATATTATTTTATATAATTCACGCACTATTCTCGACGATTTTTGATAGTTAAAATTTCAATAAATAATTGGATTTTCAGTAAAAAAAATTGTAATTTAACATATAGCATTATGTTGAAGACGATGTAATATATCGTACCTCGTATTGTAGGGATTCTTCGTGGTGCCGAACAAACAATTAGTGCTTTCCCACCACATTGCCAATTCTGAAACATTTGTTAATGCCAGAGGTATGGCTCCAGCTGACCTCATTAATTTTACTACTTCTGCGTCTTTCTCAGCGACAGTGTTCTTACGTACGACTAAACCAGCCGTTTGATACATGTTGGCAACACCGATACAGTCCTGCAATATGATAATTAAAGCGATATCTTTTAAATTATAATCACATAATTTCCTTAATAGCCAACGATAAGCGAAAACGTAATTGCTACTTGTTCTACCATGGCTAATAGAACTAACAAATGGTGAGAATGAAAAATTACCTTGGTCGTGAAGGGTACACCAAACAATGGTTTCTCTTTGGCCAGAAACTCCGCGGACGGAGCGTCCTGAGATTTCAAGAGTTGGTCGCATTTTCTCGCGTCTTTAAGCGCTTCCTCGAAACGTTCTTCAGTTATACAGTTGAGTATCGGTTGAATTTCTTTTATTCTTTCTATATACGAAGACACCACATCCTCCGAAGTTAACTGTGAATAATGAGCGGTTGATTAATATAGCGGTGAATGATAAGCCGATTTACAATTCGACTTTACAAGTGGATATAAGCGGATGTGGCATGTAAATAACACTGGTCACAGGAAAAATAAACTTTTTCTTGTCACAAGAACTTAAGTGAGTGAATCTAATAATACTTTTTACGCTGAAATCAAATATGTTTTTCTTTATCAGGCAAAATTATAAATACATGATTTTAGTTTGACAAAATTGAGTACTTAGTGTATGCTACTTTATTTAAAAAGTCGATGATTTTGTAGCATATTTCGCTCGTGACATATGCTATAAAATCATCGACTTTTTAAATAAAGTAGCATACACTAAGTACTCTTACTTCTTTGTCCAATAATCAATCAGTCAGCATATTAAGATTCCACAAGATTGCGCAACGTATTTCAACATGTCAGAATACGTATTTTAGCTTGCAATCTGTTTTTGTTTACTGAAGAATGAGAGTACATGTCTGCTGTTATAACATTGAGTGTTTAATATTCATACGTTCACAATAAATAAAGATCATTAGTATAGAAAATACTAAAAACGCTGAAATTGTAATATCAGAAATAACTGTCACAGAAAAACTGTGGGTGATAGATCAAATCTGATTGCATATTTGAATTCAGCGTAAAAATATACGTTAAAGATACCGTTAGTTTTCTTGTGACAAAAATCATGTTGATCAATTAAGATGGTATATGTTTAAGACACTTTCACCTTATTGTAAATTTAATTTTTATACGAATCATTGTTGTTTTTTATTTATGGTCAGATAAGATTTGCAATGTTACAAAGTGCATTTTATTATATATAAGATAATGAATCAAAACAAGAAATTATAAGATTGCAAGATCGAGTGGATAACTTGAAACTTATCAGAAATGAGTCGTTTATACGATACTTATCAAACATTCAACAGATTTAGAGTTGATGATAAGAAAACTTACTTGTCTGTTTCGAATTTTTAATGCTAAAGTGGTTGCGCTGTGCAAGAGCGTTAAATCTTTAATTGCTGGTTGAGATTGAGCTGGCCCGCTGATGAAGGCAACTAATAGCAATATTCCTCTTACGATTAGCTCTAGAAGACGATGAAGCACGTTCAGAATTTTTCTCGCTTGCATCTTGCCTTGTTTGTTTTTCAATCGACATCCACCTATGAAATAAATTAATGTTAAATACAATTTTACGTTAAAAATTGCTTTTCTGTTCAATTTAATTATCAGATATTAATATAAGACTCGTCACAGATTACCTCCAAATTTCATTAAAAAGATAAATTTTTATCCGTCAATGTATACTTAGTTACAATCCATTCAATGTATCTAATAGCATCAGTGCAAAATCAAAGTAAAAGTATATTTTAATAGTTACATGAAAGTAGATTTTACTATATCAATCGGAATTTGTAAATGCGTTGAATGTCTAAAATGTCAAAAGAAATGTACGTTTCAATCATCATCGATTTTATAAAGAAATTGGCAATTTCGTATTTTTGAGTTATTGATGCTATAATATGCAATTTGAGTTATTGATGCAATTCAATATCGTACTTTGAACACAGTAATCATGGATTATTCAACAGTTTTCATATGCATGTTCGATAATTTATTGCAACGTAATATAAACACCATTTTGCAAAATTAATTGGTTTTTATGTAAATATCATACCGCTTTCTTTACATGAGAATTATATCCTTATATCAATTACATATTCGTGTTTTTACACCATAAATGTATCAACATATAATGATGTTTTTGAAGAAGGAACTTATTACTATGCAAGATGGAATTGACAAATAGTATAATAAAGCAGGTGATAAGATAAATTACTTAAATACTGTGTAATGAGTTAAAAAGAATATACTATCGTCACGTATTCAGCTATAAACATGAATAAAAGAAAAAAAAAGAAAAATTCGGAGATTATGTACAGAAAAAGATGCGATTTATTATTAATTTGTTTTACAATATAATTAGATTTTAAAATAATATCTATTATTTTAATAAGAGATAAGTGATATTCAAAATTTGATTTTTCTACGTTACATTTATACTGTACAAAATTATGAGAAAACAAACTGTTCGATTAAAATACAAAATTTCTTGATTTAGTAGAATTTACATGTTTGAACAAGAAAAAAAATTGAAACGCGATTAAATACGGTTAATTGCAAAAACTCAGTATTTATTAAAACATAATTGCATGAAATGTTTTCTTCCGCATTTCCGTTTTTTCTCATTGGATAATACGTCATAAACGTGTGGATTATTATGCGCAACTGCCTAGTCTTCGCAAACGCGTTACGTCGATGATCTAACTGACACGACAATAAATAAGAGCTCGTAATAGATAAGTAACGTAATGCAAATCTCATTGTATGGAAAATTGCATCAATGCTCCCAACTAGATCAGTTCCAGAATGAGGAGTCTAGAATAGCGCACGCTTACGTTATCGCAGTGGACAACTATTAATAATACAATTACGAAATTACGTGTCAAGGCTGACGGAACAATACATGTCTGAAGCTAAACAGCTTTGGAAATGATTGAATTAACAGAACGGTCATACACATTTGTGCGTAATCAAATTTCATAAATTTGATAATATATATATATATAAACAATTACGAACAAAACGTTAATTACAGCAGTGTTGAATTGAAAAGTAAAAGCATTGAGAAATTAAGACTTAAAAATGTACATTATAAATTGAACTTTAAAGATAAAAATGGTGAAGGTTGTAAATTTGTCTCAATGCACATTTAGAAAAATTAAACTGATTTAGTTTTTTGTTTTATTTCGAATAATTATATAAAAGATATTGATGAATTGTACGTTACGTATCGTGCATCTGATTACATATTATAGGCAGTTCGACACACATGAAATGTCTGTCGGCGATGCAAGGTTATTCTGTGTAATCATTCATACAGATAAATGTACAGTATGTTTATAGCGTTACTACACAGCAGGAATGAAAGATAACATAATATTAAGATAACATAATTGAAATGTAATATTAGAGCAAACGAGTAAGATGTAAGATATCCTATTTCATACGTTTCGAATACAAGTGTCTTGCTCATTAATGTATTGTAATAATGGATATTAACTTGATATATATTTGTGAATAAAAATGTCCAAATTATTATATTTATATTAATTTATTGTGTATTTTTATTAATTTAATACTCTTGCAATTACGCTTAAAATCTTTATTATATAATAATATAATTCACTTTAACTGCATCTTCTTTCGCGATTATAAATATTTGAAATGTTTAATTGTTGATGTATGTTACATCTACAAAAAAACAGAAAATTATTTAATGTATTTGCAAACAACAGCTCTATTTAAATAAGATTGCCTGAACGATTTCTACTAGCATTCATGGAAGCATGAATTATTTATACTTGTTACATCACACTTTAAAATAAATTCCTGAAAGCAAAAAGTGAACAAGAGCAAAACTTACAAATAATTATACATGTAAAAACATCATTAAAAATTTTAATCACATTACTATTTTTTCTATTATATAAGATTGTCAATAAAACTATTAAGAAGAACATACGTATTTCTAATTCAATAACATTCAATCAGATTGTATGCTTTGCGTAATTTTGTTTCAAATTAGATTGTTATTACATTTTATTCACTTTACGCAGTTTCTTGATATTTTATATTTTATGATAATTTACTATTCGTTCAAGGTAGCGTAAAAATATAAAATATATCAAGCAACTGCATAAAGTGAATAAAATGCAATGACGCAATGGAATATATATGCATTTAAAAAACAAATAATTAAAAATTTATCTTATTAAAAAGAAAAACAGTGAATTAATAATTAGAATTGCTCAAAACTAACAATTTAATGAAGACGAATTAAAAAAAATAAAGTGTGCTGAGAAAACAAAACCCATCATAATAATACATGAGCACAAAAAGTGTCATACATACGTAATTTAATGCCAGATAACTTCATTTTTTCACCCAATTCAGAAATATGTATTTATATCGTGGCGTACTGAGAATCTAATCGATTACAGGAATTCTGCCGGCCGGAAAGAACTCTAATTTATAGCTATATGTCAGCCGCTGACATTCACCTAATTTGATGCACTCGCGTGATAATTCTAGCGAGATTATTTTGCGAAAGTATGAAGAAGCAATCATTCATTTACTTATCTGGCTTACTTATTTACTTAATTGTGAAAAATTCTCATTCGCTCAGGACGATTACCTAAAAAAATTCTGCCAACCGGAAATTCCTGTTTCAGCGATGATGATGTTATTTATAATTCAGAATCGTTTGCGTGACACTTGCGATTCTCACGAGATGATTATTCCACTCGAAATATTTACGAATGATAATTCATTGGACATAAATCTTTGAAACTATCTTGTGCATTCCGAGTCTCGATTCTATCGTACCGTTAACGTCCGCGTAACGCTCGAAGATAAACCGCGGAAACACCGATCGACTGATCTGACTGAAATTGCACAAACGGTAATTCGGCGAGCCACGATCAGTCAGCACGACGATAGAGAGAAACAGAAAAAGAGGGAGAGAGAAATAACCTATTCCTCAGTGGGGCAGATGAGCGACAGCCAACGACTCACTGATGAGCGAGCGATTTAAACCGGCAATCATCACGAGACAATATTACGAGATAATTCTGTTACACTCCTCTCTATCTATCCTCTTCTTTAACGGCAAATGCAATTTTTTTCGAGAACCGGATGTTAATTGCCGCCACGATCGCGACTCGCCTTTCTCAAAAGCGACGCGCAGTTTACCGACACCACTACGAAGAACCCACCCACCATCCACTGTATATAGCGCGCTTCGCTCCGATCACGTTCCAACTCTCGCTCCACACCGCTCTGAACTGTCGCGTATCCAAGTTACAGCGAGCCTGCGTGCGACGCGAATATCGAAACGAGCGGACATGAATCGCAGGAGCGGTCTTGGATCTTTTGAACCCCGTTGCTTGACTTTACGTACAAAATATCTAAAATGCAAGAAGACGGACATTCTTGAAATCGATTTGCATTTATTGATATATAGACGTAAGAGTTTGGGAATTTACATATTCACAGATCGACATAACAAATCTGTATTAAAATTTTAAATGCATAAAATTATGGATTCAAGGTATATGAGAAGATACGGTCTTGTCGCAACACACTTCATGGTCATAAAGTTGGCCGCGAGATAGAGCAGTCAGACGGAACATGCGAACCTAACCTCTCGTCGAAACATGGTCGTAATTGTGAATCCTTAGCGATTTTCGAGGCCGTTTAATCCTTTCAGCGAGGCGTAGACGGGTCTGCACACAAATGTGATCGTATCGTGACGTATTTCGCGCATGCTTTCGCATCTCTAATCGGCCTCTACCTCGACAGTCGACATATATACATCGTCGGTCCACTGGACGAATAATCTAAGGTAGTTCGCATGTTGAATGTATATGCCGAATAAGGGTTGAAAAATAATTTATGAGATATTATTTTGGTAAGTTCCGATTTCAATATTATAATCGCGCAAAAATGAATTTTATGTTTATTTACAACTATGCAAACGACAATCGGCGTAAAAACATCTTTTCACATTAATCATACAGAGAATTAAAATCAATACAAATTAAAGAGTGCACAAATATTAAATTGAGCTACGTTTATATTTATTTTCAATGTAATCGCTCTTGCAATACTTGAAAATAAAGTCGAAAACGAGAACATTTTCGGCGTATGGTTATTTATTACGCCTACGTATTTGTCGACATATAAGATTGTACAATATTACATATGTTGATTGTAAATAGAATATATTACAAATATATAATATATATTTGTTACTTGTGATAAAATATTATCATTTTTATTATTTATAGTACACGATAAATACGTAAACGTGGACGCCTTTTATTCGTTTATCAATACACTTAAAAAAAATAATTTTTAAATTAGAAAATATGATCTACTCTTTTTACTTGTTTACTATTACCTTGCAAATATTTCAAATACGATTTATTTAATTTTATGAATATTTACTGTCAAACTTGTAAACTTATAATACCTGTTTAGTAAAAAACACTTGTTTGATTGCTCGCGTACTCGCGTACTCGCGTACTCGCGAATAAAAATATTATATAAGCAGATATCTAATGTTTTGGCAAACTAGATGCGTATTAGTGATGTTACATGAATTCATAAATGATACCGATATTATCTTATATTTCTTTTAAATTATGGATTTAATTTTTTTATTAAAATATGAATAAAATATAGGAATATTTTAGATAACATTTTGAGTGAGATTTAAATTTTCAAAGGCAAGAGGCACCTATGTAATCAAGTCTATAAACTTAAGTTTGCTCTTCATTGGTACAACAGTTCGTATGTCTCATGGCAGCCACTTGCCTCCTGATCAATCGACAAAGAGAGTGTTTTATATATAACGCTCCTCGTAATTTTATTATTACTCCACTCTTGTGTCAGCTAGCATGTTGCTGCGAGATCTTTCGTATCTTCTAAATGAAAGCAGGATTGAGTCAAAATATTACAGTGTTTTTAATATTCTAAATTCGTCATTTAATCCTTTCTTCATTATTTAATTCCCGAGTTCTGAAATATATGTAGCACATCGATACGTTTTTGACGAAAATATCTCACGAATCTCTCACATCTTGTACAAAAGTTGCTAAAAACACAATATGTCGTTAAAAATTAATTGCAAATTATAGATTTATTACTTTTTGAAACACGTAATTACACTATTTTTTTAACTCGTGCAAATAACTTATAGATAATTTTATTTTATTTTATCTTAATGTGAAAGTCGATAATCAATTTTATTTTTTGAGATTTTGATGTAGATGAAAATGAAAAGTCAAGTATTTTTATAGTTTTTTTAAACGCCATTAACCCTTTGAGATTCTTTTTGCTGCCTTGCCAGTTAAATCCGTAGAGTACACATCGATGCACATGGTTGAATTTAAGTATGTAAAGTTGCGACTGTCGAGGGACAGTCGAAGAACCATGTAGAGAAACTTTATAGAGAAAGTAATTGATGGAGAACATAGAGTATCCTGGCACGTTTCACTTTCTAAATTTGCGAACCGTGTAACGCGGATGGACAATGATTTCTACGTAATACAATGATAATAGCAAGTTACTGCAATGTCGATTTCAATTTTAGAAAATAAAAAAATGCACGCGGAAAATTTTACAAGAAAAGAATAAAAATTTCCAATAAGTCTAATTTAATAACGTTTTTCTAATATTGCTTAATATTTTTTTTATTGTTCTTTTGAAACATGTTTTATATTAACGTTAAAGAATACTATAAGAAGGATCTTTTATAGTTTTCGTTCTTGATGTTTATATTATTTCGTACTCTAAACGATATATTTATATATAAAATATATAAAGAATTAATCACACACACATTACAGAATTCTTGTAGACTTAATATGATTGCAATGCACAAATGTGTAATTATTTTGTTTTTAATTGAAATTTTAAATCTCTTATTTATGCGATATTAATTCTGTTAATTGCATCTAACATAATTTATGTTATAATTGTTTTTTGTATGAAAATTTATGTATTTTTGTGGAAATAATTATTTGTTATATTTTTTTTTCATACGTGTGACAGACAATTCTACACGGTAAACCATGGAGTCTTTATCGGAATGTATCTGACAAAGCATAACGTGCTTGACTTTTCGAACTTGTCATATTGAAAAGGAAACCGATGGAACCGACGAAAAAGAATGATTCTTCGGGGACTCATTCCGAAAATCAAAATGGAAAAAATAATACTGATGATATACAGGAACAAATGAAGAAAGTGGAGGTGAAAACGTCTTCTCCTACCAGTTTATTGGCGAAAAACAGCTTCATATTGCCTACTGGGGTCATTAGACCAAAGCAAAGCGAGCAAGTGAAAGCAAAAACCGAAATAATGTCGTCGTCTGGCTCCGCTACCGGTAAGAATTTTTATTGCTTTTTTAAATGAAAAAAAAATTGAAATATAAAATTATGAAGTGTTTCCTTTCCTTTGAAAACGGAGAGAGAATCTGTATGAAATGCAGATAGACTGAACATGCGAACCGTAACATTTAATCGTTATATAATTTTTATAATTTTGCAGAGAATAAAATCTAATAATTAAAATTTCATTGTCTCAAAATAAGTCTGTTGAAATTAATACATGAAGATAAAGAATTTTACTCTCGTTTTCCTTCGCAATTTATCTGCATCGCTATTTAGAGCGGACATAAGTATTATTGTTTTGTTCAAACAACATACTTCGTTGAATCGATTTCGCGATCAATAACTTTCCGCGTTACTGACTCTTCTGCCGTTGATCTTGGTGCGCGGAGAAGCGCGCCCCGACCAGAAAGAGATCCTGCGTGTTGAGCTCAGTGTCGTCCCATCTACTATATTGATCTACCTGTCTCAGGGTTATATTCGGCCGCGTGTTTCAGCGCAGTACCCTCCGGTCCTTCACCACAGTATCACCGGGATCTCGTTTTCTCGCCAACGACGTGACCCGCGATTCGCATCGCGTTTCCGTCCTATTAAAGAAAAAAGAAACTATCGCAGTGATTATTGTTCTACGATAATAATGTAGATGACTTTAAGTCATCGCTCTCTTTTTCGCGCATACCGTAATTTGGTGAATACCGTTAGTCGCGCGTTCATTTCGTACAACGTACGATGCATAATTAATGGTCTTTCTATCCTTATTATTAGTACGATGGATCGATGGTGACCTGAACCAAGTAGTTGTACACTTAGTCGATACTACTTAACTTAAGTAGTATTGTTGAAATAGTTCAAGACGTTCTATATTTATTTCTCTAGTTAGAGTTTTGATTAATGGAGTTTCGCAACAATTCAGTGCGTTTTTAACACGTTAAGTGTATTTACATGTTTTACATTCATGTATTCATTTTACACAAAGTGCTGTAATTATTTTTTATTGGCAGATTCTCTGCTTTGAAGTATTTTCACAAGAGTACTTAGCGTGAATTTAATCAAAAATTTCGGAATATTTTTTAAATATCTTGAAACGTTATACGGTTTGTCAATTAAGCTTGAAATTAAAATTAAATGTGAAAATTTGAAATTTATTAAAAGAATGAACAAAGTTCTTTGACTATTTAATATACATATCTCTAAAATTACGTTTTAATATTTTTATCAAGGAGATTGACGCTAAATATAAAAAGAAAGTATTAAAATAAAAAAGAATAGTAAAAAAAAAGTCGATAAATGTGTAAATTACGTTTTGTAGATATGTGTAATAAATATAAAGTGTAAAAATTGAAACACAAGGTGAAAAATAGCACTGTTATCTTGAATTAAATGCAGGATATGACATATCAGAGAGCAGACAGCTGTCAGATTATCGGCAAATTATCAGCATATTAAGTATTGGATTAAAAATTTTCAGTCGATGATGTGGCAAATAATATTTACGAATTCTGTCTGAAGTTAAATTTGCACATATTTCCGTCTCACCAATTAGCTAATTGTTTGCAATTGCATGTACTTTAATAAAGATAATTGGTTTTAATGGCTACATAACAGCTATCGAGATAATTTACTCACTATATATTAATATGTTTTCTGTTGACACGTATGACCTACATTATCACCCGTATCATTATTATATCTGTAACATGCGATGCTAATAATGCGTCTTTTTGAAAAACAGATTCCCTTGTTTACTTCATTTACTTCTTTATTTGTGTCGTGCCATGTGTTAAAAGAAAAACTTAATTTTTGAGTAGTGTCGAAACAAATTTCACGGACTGACATATTTTTGAGAATTTTTGTCGATTTCGCGTTTTATGAAATAACTACAAAAATCATCATGCATCCGCAAATTTTGTCGTTTCGATGAGAAAATGCCACGATGCTGCGGCGCTTCTTTGGTTTCCGCCGCGGATGGCAATGGGTCTCCGCAGAGTCTTGGTCTGCAGATCCAGGACGGTTAGTAATTAGTGTAATTGCCAATTAATCTATTTTTGCAATCGTGTTTACGTGCATGTGCACGTGTTTATCGTTACCGATAAACGTCACCTTTATGCTCTGAAGCGTTAATTTACAATAACGCGTTGTTAGATAAAAAACATAGAGGTAACATAAGAAAAATAGTTTTTACTTTCTTTATTAAAAATATAAAAAAAAAACCGTAATCTTTATAGATTATCAATTAAAGTGACATCTTAATAAAAAATTCATGAAATATCACTGAGATAATGAAATTGTTATATTGATTATGGCAATTAATTATAAATATCAAGCACAAAAATTAAATTAATGATGCGCATTAATAGTTGGAGAAATTTTAGATGTGATATTGTATTAATTCTACGGTCCTCGGTGTATTTAATCAATGCAAATTAAGAAAAAAGTGTAACAAGGTAAAGCAATCAGTATTTATTGTTGCTTGTTATAGGAAACCCGCGAAACAAGACAGCCCTAGCACCGGGTCACAGTTTGATGGATTGGATCCGTCTGGGTAATTCGGGAGTCGATTTAACTGGAGTCGGTGGTGTACCACGAGTCGTAACGTTATCTGAGCTTGCTAATCATAATAAGCAAACTGACGCTTGGATAGCAATTCGAGGTTTGTTGATTTTTACAATTTATATCGTCCCGTTAAGAGAGAAGAATCTCTTTGCCATCAACTACTCGTAAAACGTGAAATGTTTAATATGCCATTACTAATATATTGATTATGATTTTTTTGTGACATGTATATATGTTAAATAGCATAATAATAAAATATTTTAGAGTACATACAAATGCAAAAGTCGAAAAAATTCAAAACAAAAAATATATGCCTACTTTTATAACATATATTACATATATTAAATAATATACTAAAAATTTGGTGCCAATAAATTTGCTTTTTTTGTTGAATAACTTAAACGTTAAATTTCGATTAATTACATTTAATTTTGTTTACAGGAATTGTATTCAATGTTACGCGTTATATGGATTTCCACCCAGGAGGAGTCGACGAATTGATGAGAGGCGTCGGGAAAGACGCTACGAAATTATTCGAAAACGTGAGATCTTTCATTTCCTATCGCATATTTTGTATCATTACATTATCTCGCTAAGTGGTAATTATTTTTATGTACCCGTAGATCGTTAATTCCAGGTGCACGCTTGGGTGAATTATCAGAGTATTCTGCAAAAATGCGTCGTAGGCAGATTAAGCCGCGGCACTTCTTCCACTTCAAGTACTTCTTCCGTGACGGAAAAGTCGGTTACGGGTGCAAACAATTGTTCATCCGTGACGTTAGATCTAAGCAAAAGTTCCGATGGTAAGTACCCATTGTAGCTGCTGCGTCGTATTATTTTCTAGGTCATCTATATTTAGAAGAGCATTGCTGAATTAACAAATCATAGTGTATTAGGCCATTATAGTAGTTTGAATATAAGTCCATATTCACAATTATTCGAAATCAAATTGAACAATTCTTTTTTACCTTTAATAAATCGGCGAATGACATAGCATTATTACTGTCTAAAATATGATAATATTTTATGAAGTATTTTTAATTATACTTTATTATTTATTTTAATATGTAAGATGTTTTCTAAGATGTTTATTCATTATTTATCTAATTTATTATTTATCTTATAATTTTATTATTTATTATGCCAAATTAATGAGCTTACAATCATGTTTGTTTAATTAAACATTTGTTTTAATTGTTTTAGCACAAAAAACAATTGAAGAAAACTCATCAGATTCACCTAATGTCAATATGGATTGGCGGCAAACATCTAATTCCATTACACTGTTTTATCAAATCGTGCACAAATATCAGGGAGTATATTACCAATTACAGAGATTGAGCGACTCAAAGCTTATTTTTAAGCTTATTTTTGAAAAGTACATTATCGTAGATGAGCTGGAATTAATTGCAGATATAGAATGGCCACCAATATATAAAAGAGATTTCGATACCATGCAGGTAAGTTATTGAACGAACTAATAAAAAATTGGTTTATTCCTAACATCCGTTCCAAAAGTTCAAAAAAAGCATTTGAAATGTTGCAGGTAGATTTTACGTTAACAAAAAAGCTAAAAAACATTTGGAAATCTCAGGGAAATCATACAATATCACGAGATACCATTACAAATAAACGCACCTACAAAGAGTACGAAGTACTGAGTAATTCATCCCTTTGCAAACTAGTTAATTTATTAGTCTTGCGTGCAAAAGATTTTCTAGAACTAATTCCCATTGGTAGACACGTAGAAGTTAAACTGGATGTAATGGGTAAGTAATAACTTGCTTTCGATGTTTCTTTATCTTTTACCGTTTATTTTTTATTCGGGAAAAATTTATATATTTTTTTATTGACGTTATAAAATTGCTATGTAGAAACTATGA